GTCCTCCTAATACCACCCTTCATCAGTACAGGGAAAAAGTGGCTTTAATTGTGCCATCAAAATATGGCCAACGTCAGCCAACAGAGCACTCTTTACTGGAACAGGCAATAACGCGAAAATAAAATAAAATAAATCACTGCTTAGGTAACAGAGCTCCCTTGCTCTGCTTTAAGGTTTTGCGATGCCAGTCCAGCATCCCTGGCAGGGACCGCTGCCAGTAAAACATACAGCAGAAACTAAACTTGCAAAAAGGTACGGCTTGCAAGTGTCTCATCCCCTTCTCCATTTGTAGTGTTGCCTAATCTTACCCTGCTGGTTTTGTGATTGACTGAGAAATTACAAGAGAGGTTACTGCAGTGAGCTCAATCACATCAGTCACCGATTGATTTGCACAGAGCAAAGCCAAAATTATCCGGGCCACAGGAGAGAGAAGTTTACAAGCATTTTAAATAATATCAACTTGACAGGAAGGTGCAGCATCATGTTAACTTTCTAATTTGTGCCTAAGTGCTGAAAATCATCTTTCTCTTCTGATTCCCAGTGACCCAGCTTCCAAACATCACCTCCCGATCAGGTTGCCTCTGTAATGTCTCTAAGAGAGGGGCTGCAGGGAAGACAGAATGCAACACTTCTTCTACCTGTGACCAAAAAGTGTTGCTTTTCATTAAAGAAAAAAAAAATATATATATATACCCAAACCCCTAAATGGAAAACCAACCTTCTACATCCTCCTTTTCCTCCTGAACAGACAGGGGACACCTAGCAAAAATTAACTAAGCAGATATCTTGCAGCTCCAGCTTCTTGTGCGAGCGTCACCCGGGCAGGTTAGGGTTTGCGTTCAGCTGTGGGCTGACTACAGGGTTTCTCATCACAGCTGCCAGCAGCTACCGCTTTTGCCAGTGGCTTCTCGTGGTGACCAACGCAAGCCCCTGGCAGGGCGGGGACATGCAGCCGCGCTAAATACCTGCAGCTGGAGCTCTGCGGCATACGCTGACCACTGCGTGCCATGCTTCGAAGCAAGCACCTGAGCCCATTCCTCCTGCCGTGGCTGCGGGCCTGCTGTGCAGCAGCGCTCAGCTCTCAGGCAAGTGGAAATAGGAGCCTATAAATCATGGTTTGTTTAGTATTCTGCTAAAAAAAAAAAAGAAAAAAATAATGATTTCCAGGATGCTAATTAAGGAGCTGAAAAATAAGGTACCCAAATGAAACACGGAGCCATGTCTAGAAATCTCACGGCAGGGCCTGCTGGTAATGAATAAAGTAACTCTGTTCCTTGCATCAGGAGAATCAGCAGCCCTTTACACGAGCGAGCCAGGGACAGCACAAATCAGGGTTTCGGGTTATTAAGCAATTGGATTGTGCCCTTAATCTAAGCAGCCTCAGAGACATAAGTAACAAGATTCACATGGATTAAAAATGATGGTTGCTACTGTGCCTGTCAAGGCTAAGCTCACACACAGCGGATGGAGGTGAAGAATTTAATTTCCCTTCCTTACTGATGCTGGCTACATGACCTCTGTCTTACACCCCTCCTTTCAAGTCAAGATAGTCCTCTGATTAGATGATGATAAATATTCACACACTGTGTAGAATTGTGGTGACACTTCCTCTTAGCACCAGAAGAGCTGCTGCTGGGACCATCAAGCCACCTCTCAATTTTTCCTTTCAGTTTCAGATGCAAACACATTTCTAAAGTCCTGCACCAAAACTTGAGTCTATTTGGAGATGACACCTGCTTCTCCTCAGCTTCAAAAACGATGCACAGGGAATCAGAGGACCACAGAGCTAAACCCTCAAAAATCTTCAGCTTATACTTTCATGGAGATTTCAGGTCAACTAAAAAAGGCAGATAACAAGGAATGTAGGAGTTAGAAAGGGAACTCGATTGCTTTTTGACTTTTTTTGTCTCTAAATCTTACCCTCCCCACGCAATGGGGCTTGCCAGCCCCGTCGCCGCGTCCGAGGGGAGGCTGCATGGAACCACTTTTTAAAATTCCTCCAACCCAAAAGAAAGAGAACTCCTGCTGTTCTTGTATGAATGCATGGAGACAAAGCTCAAAAACCTCAGCAGCTTCCAACCCTCAAGGCTGTTTTTTCTGTGTACACCGGGAAATTCTCCCTCTAGCTCACAAGACTTCTCTTTTGATTTTTTCTGGAAAACTGGCCGAATACAATCCAAGTGCAAAAAATTTCAGCTAGTGCATGGAAAAATGGTTCAAAGGGACCAGTTCATACCATAGTCCTTAAGCATTTCTGTAGATGGAGCGGGGATCACTCTTCCAATTAGCCACAGGCCTTTAAGTGTACACCAAAAATCCCACAGAAAATCACCTTGAATGGGCAAACTACACTTCCAACATATTTATATAGCGAGTAGTTAGTAAGAGTGTACATTTTTAATGTACATTTTAATGCAATAAAGAATCAATGGCATATCTGAACTGTATATACGTGTACTTAAATAAACCTGCATGTACATAGACACTAGAGAGTAAATTGACCTACCTGTATTTGTTCTCTGAAGGTAACACTGTACATACTCTCGGGCCGCACGACTCCCAGATCTGCTACCTCTGGCTCTAGGACCACCCAGGTTCTCCCGTCACCTGTGACATTTCAGGGTGCGCAGGATTGCACCCGCAAGGGTGAACCCCTGGGGCTCTGGCTGTCTTCGCAGTGCAGCTGCCCCTGCTCTCCTGGAGGAGAGCCGCGGGGATGCTGCCCGGCTGAGCCAACACGAGGCTGAGGTGGGATTGCTGCCGGTTATGCCCCCAACTACGCCATGACCAGCAATAGTGCTTCTAACGAGAAAGAAATTTAGGGAGCCTGGTGTCACAGCAGGGTGCTCTGGGTCGACGCCACCCCTGCTCGCAACGTTTTGGGGAGGGTTCGTCTGACTGCTAAGGGATGGTTGCAGTGTGGGTGTCTGCATCTGAGCGCATCGCCCCGGCTCCTTTTGGGTGCAGGTCATCTCCTTCCGAAGCAGATGCTCACGCTTGGCCGCGGGGGTTACACCGTGTGCCAGGGGAGCTACGCGAGCTCAGGCACCTACCACGTAGGCACGTACCGCCAGGCAAGAGGAAGCCCTCTCTCTTGCAAAGCACTGAGCAGATAAAGCCCCTTCCTAGGAGTTGAGCAAGGCGGCCTCAAAAGAGGGGATGAAGAAAGAATTGGAAAAGCAAGGGCAATTAAAGGTAGAAATCAGACACCATCTTTGGAAGAGGTTCTGAAAGAGCTTTTTTGTTTTTAAACCAGATTTTTTTTGTAAAACTCTGGATCCGATCCTTTGGGGCTTGCTACCCACCCTTCTAATAAATATCATTTACCACCAACAATAAAGTCTCCCACATTAAAAAGCTCTCACTAAATAAAAACCTTCTACTGAAAAAGCTTGGCTGAGTTAGCTTGGCAAAAATAAGGAACTATGACTATTCTCCATAAATACATCAGCGGATAAATACCAAAAACTATTTAAGTTAAAGGACAATGTTGGCTCCAAAGCAAACCAGGAATGAACCGGCCATGAATTAATTCAAACTAGAAATTTAAATAAAGTTTCTAACCATTCAAAGGCGGTGAAGTTCTGGAATAGCCTTCCAAGAGCAAAAGTGAAGGCAAGACATGGAACCAATTTTGAGCTGGAATTTGATTAGTTTGTGACAGAATGGTCTGACACAGCATTTGGCTGGACTATTCAGCTCAAGAGTTTCCCTCCTAGACCTTGTTTTCTATTAGAAAAGAATATTAAAAAAATCTTCAAGTAGTTGCATCACACAGCAGCCACCCAAGACAACATGGGCACGTTAAAAATGTACAGGTACCGGGAAGCAGGAAGGTTAACTGGGAAATTTATTTTGCTGTTTCGCCAGAACTATTGCAGACGAACTGGGAGGGGGGTGGGTGGAAAAAAAAAAAAAAAAAGATGACTGGAGCGAACACTTGAAGTTACCAGCGCTGCTGCAGGAGGATCTGTCATATAGGGCTGCAGGAGGGAAACTTCTTGATTGCAGAAGAGCTGCTGCCTCGCCAATCCCTTGGAGACAACAATGACTTGAACCACTCACAGCAACACTGCGTATTCTCTGCGTTTGTTCTCTGAAGAACAGCTTGTTCTCTCTGAACAATGAAAAGGATTCCAGGTCAGGATGGAAAAATTATTATGTGCTAGTTCTCAGTGATTAAAGGGAGACTTGGAGATTTAACAGCCTGCTACAGTCAGTCTCCAGGAGCGCAGGGGAAAATATTCTAGCCAGCAAGGGACAAATGACACCAAACTCCATCTCCTGGGTTGTCTGGGTCTGGGAACCTGCTACTTATTGGAGAGTATGCAATGCTAAATCTAACCTCATCCGTAGGGATGAAAATCTCACTCAACTCCCACTGGACTTTAATGCAAGACTGGCAGTTTTCTTCTCAGATACCTTTCCTTTCCTAACACACACATACACACTTGTGTGCCCGCAAAGCCCTTCATTGCCAGGGCTTAAGGACCAGAAAGGGCAGAGAGGATATATGCAGCTATGCCAACCTTTAGAGAACAAACACATTAATGGACAGATGAAAAAGAGAAAAAAGAAAAAAAGAAAAAAGTACTGTGCCATGATAGTCCATATCTAAGCAATGACCTTGTTTACACAATGTCTGAGATTCGTTATGCTTGTATAGGCAGCTGTAGGCATCGGTATATGAATATGAAATCTGAAAGTCTGTCCACTGGAAAGCAAACAAGAGCATCCTATTTCCTGGGTGTGAGCTGAGCCCCCGCCTCCGCCAGCTCTTAGCCATCTCCTCGGCTGGGCCGCCGAAAGCTCTGCACTAAGTGCCCGGTTTTTGCACGCGCGCTCTCTCGTGTGCTGTGCTCAAAGGTCTCATTTATGGCAGTGCTTTATCACCACGTCCTGCTCCTGAGGTTTAGATCAGGCCAGCCCATGGGTTTCTTGAAGACCAAAAATTTCTTCTCAAGGGTAAGAGCAGATCCTCCGGGGCTGGTGGTTTGAGTTCAGTCTGTTTCTGAAAAAGAACAGAGATTTCAGAGAAGCTCCGGCTCGCCGCAGGGACCTGCGACCCAAGTGGAGTGCTGGGTGGGGAGGAAGGGGTGGAGGAGTGCCTCAGGATGGGCAAAATTGGAAGCCTTGATGGAGTCAGCTGCAGAGAAAGGCCAGCCCCATTCAGAGGGGCCAGGAAACCCAAAATCCTCGCGGGAGCGGAGCTGGGCTTTGGCCATCAGCAGGGCTAAGGCGGGACGCAGCCCGCAGCAGTCTGAAGCTGTGCACCCTCGCTGAGCACCTCCTGCCTCTGTGCCACAAGGGGTGACGGGACCACCTCGCTCCGGGTGGCATAAAGCCACGCTCAGAGGGTCCTAGCAGGGGCACAGCCATCGTCCTGGCACGGGCACAAAAGCTGGCCCACCACCCTTCCCCAAACCGCTCCCGCTGCAATGCCTCGCCAGCCTGCTCCTGCAGCCGCAGCCGCTCCCCAGCAAAGTGCACGGGGCCACGCACGTCCAGACCTCTCAGCTGCAAGAAGGGCAGGGCCCCATTCAAACACACGCTCCACCTCCTCTGCATTAGACAGGGGAGGGAAGCAACGAATTTTAGTGGAGGCTCCAAAGCAAGGCAGCGGGGCTGGACAGGATCCCAGCTGCCCAGCATGCCGGCAAGGGGCTGCGTGTGTGGAGCAGACGAGGGGCTGCGCAGGCCGTGGCAGGACAGGGCA